GCCGGCCGGGCAGGCATCCACGCAGGCCCCCGCCAGCAGGAGGCCGCCCTCGTGGCAGGCCTGGCACGCGGTGGCCGAGGCGCAGGCGGCGCAGCCGGCCGGGCAGGCCTCGCACGCCCCGGCCTCGGGGAACATGCCGGCCGGGCACTCGGCCACACAGGTGGCCCCGGCAAGGAGCAGCCTGCCGGGCTGGCAGGCCTGGCAATCGGCGGCCGAGGTGCAGGCGGCGCAGTCCGCCGGGCAGGGCTCGCAGGCGCCCGGGCCGGCATGCATCCCGGCCGGGCAGTCCGTCACGCAGGCCCCCGCATGCATGAGGTGGCCATCCTGGCAGGCGAGGCACTCGGCGGCCGAGGCGCACGAGGCACAGCCCCCGGGGCAGGGGGCACAGGCGCCGGCCGCGGAGAAGGTCCCGGCCGGGCAGTCGGCCACGCAGGTCCCATTGTGGAGGTCCATGCCGGGCTGGCAGGCCTGGCAATCGGCGGCCGAGGAGCAGGCGGCGCAGCCGGCGGCGCAGGCCTCGCACGTGTCGGCCGCCGGGTGCATGCCGGCCGGGCAGTCGGCCACGCACGCGCCGGCCAGGAGATAGGTGCCGGGCTGGCAGAGGCGGCAGTCGTCGGCCGCGACGCACGCCTGGCAGTCGTCCGAGCAGGGGGCGCAGGCGCCCATGTCGGTGAATGTGCCGGCCGGGCACTCATCCACGCAGGCCCCCGCCAGCAGGAAGTACCCGGCCTCGCAGGTGAGGCACGCGTCGGCCGGCTCGTCGCACAGGGCGCACCCGGTCGAGCAGGCCGCGAGGCCGGCCGCCTGCCCCGGGGAGGGGGCGCCCGCGGCCGGCGCCGCCAGGTACACGGCGACGGCCAGCACGGCCGCGAGGGCACACAGGAGCCTGCGCAAAGACATGGCGCGCACCGGATCGCGCGAGCGGGGGGGGGGGGGGGGTGAGAGTGGCGCGGGAGCGCGCGCGCGTCAGCCAGGCCGAAAGGAGGCGCCCGAGGAGGAGGAGGCGCAGCAAGGGGGGGAGGGAGATTGAAAAGCAGCGAGGACGCAGGCCGGGAGCGGGGAAAGGGTGATGCCGCCGGCCGCGGACCGGTGGCCCGTCGACGGCCTGGCATTTCACTCGCTCGCGGCCTGTCCCGGTGGGCGAGGCCCGTCGGCGGGCACGGGCGCTGCGGCCGTGTCTGGGGAGGGGGGCGGGGGGATCGCGCCGGGCCCTGGCGGTGTCCCACGCGCCGGCCCCCCCCCCCCCTGCCGGCATGCTGCCGCGCCCTTCTCACGCCGGGCCCCTTGGCGCCGAGTGGGCCCGACGGGCGCCGGGCGCGGCGGCGCCCGCGCAGGCCGGGGTCTCTCCCGGGCGCGCGCGCCCCGGTCGCCCAGGGAGGCAGACCCGGCGTCGGCCCGGCGCCAGGTGCCGGCCCAAAAGATCTGCTCCTGACGAGGCGCGCCTCGCAACACGGCTGACGGCCGGGGAGGGGGCCCGGGATGCGGCCCCGGCGTTCCGGGACCCGGTCCCACTCCCCCTCGCCGGCGGCAATACCGCCAGGAGCGATGCGCCGGGCGCCGGGGGCCGCCGGCCCTTGGCAACCGGCCATGGGCCAAAGCCCGCTCGCGTGCGCCCCGGCCCGAGGCAATATGCACGGGCGCCATTCGGTGCGGCGCGCGGGGCCGCCGGCCGGGGGGGGGGGGGGAGAGGGACCTGGCCGCGCCGCGGCGCCCGGTGGGCAATCTGGCCGCGCCATTGCCCGGCGTCGCGGCCCGGCCGGCCCCTTCGCCGGGCAAATGTCCGGCGCGGGCGCGCGCACGCGCGTTGCCCGGGCGTCCCCCGCTCGATCTGCGCGCGTGTCCGGTGCGGAGCCGGACAAAGGGCCGCGCCGGGCCACGATCTGGCCCCCGCCGGCGTGCGTGCGCCAGCCCGCGCGCCAGCCATGCGGGGCTGCGATCCGCCGCCCGCGCGCGCGCGCGCCGCCGCCGCCGCCGCCGCAAAATGAGCCCCTGCCATTCTCTCGTCGCCGGCCGGGCGGCGCGCGGCCGAAATTGCCAGGGGCCGGGGGCCGGGTGCGTGGGCACTTGGCTCGGCGCGCCGCAGGCCCGGCCGGCCCCGGGACCCCGACAGCCGGGGGGGGAAACAGCACAGCCGCCCCCCCCCCCCCCCAGCGGGGGGAAACTGCGCAGGGACTCCCGCAGCCGCCCGGCGTTGAAAGGGGCGCGCGGAGATTGCCCCGAGGCATACCCAGGGGCGCATTCCCGCCGGCCAGCAGGGCTAGGGGCATGTCTGGTCTGGGGCGGCCCCGGGTCGCTCGGGGCGCGCGCGCGCGCGGGTAATTCCCCCCCGCCCCCCGCGCCGCCGGCCGGCCTCTCGGGTCTCGACTGGGGAGGCCCCGGGGCGTGCACATGTGTCACCCGGTCCTCCCCTCGCCACCCCCTGCCCCCCCGGCTCAAGGTCCTGCGCGGGCGTGTGTCGTCTCTCGGGGGGCGCCTGCACGCGTGTATTTCCCCCCTGCGCGCAAGGCGGCGGCAAAAACGGCCGGGGCAAAAAGCAATGGTGCTCATTGGGTGGATCGAACACCCGACCTCCAGTTTACTAGACTGGCGCTCTACCACTGAGCTAAACGAGCGGCGGCGTGCGTCGACCGGGAATCGAACCCGGGTCTACCGCGTGGCAGGCGGCAATTCTACCACTAAACCATCGACGCGCTTCCGTGGGGGAGGGGCCCCGGCCAGGGGATAAATGCCCTCGCGGGGAGGGGGCCGGGCGCCGAAAAAAGGAAACACTGTCCGAACCAGGACTCGAACCTGGGACATTCTGTGTGTTAGACAGATATGATAACCATCTACATCATTCGGACTGAGGGAGGGTGGCTGCGGCGCGCCACATATGGGCGCTTCCTTCGCCCCCGCCCGGGGCGGGGGAAGGGCACGCCCGCCAGCCGGGGCCGAAAGGCGGAGCGAGAAAACCCAGCGACAAAAGGGAAGAAGAGCGCGGCCCCCGAGGCGTGGGCCGGCCTCGAGCAAGGGGAAGGAGTGTGAAATATTGTATCAGAGAGGGGGCGGGAGGGGGAAATGGG